CCAAATACGTTTGATACCTATGTTAATCCTTATAATAAAGTTTTCCTTGATTTGCAATTATGTTGCAAATGTTCTTGTATATGGAGGTTGGCAAAATCATGGGATCAATTTAGAAATATCATGTGTGCTTATTTAATATACTATGACAACAAATAAAATGGCATATGATTTGAGAATTTGTTTTATGATGATCATTTGTATAAATTTTAGTAGGCCATCTTTTGAACTGATTTATAGGTTTATAACTAGGATGAGATTGTAAATAAGATGTTCTCAAGAAGTGAGAGATCGGCATTGAAGAATGCTTATCAAGTATCTCTGGATTGATTTAATTGAAGGCAAACAAGAAAAGAAAGCATATGGTCCTATCAACTGCAAAACTGCATCACACAATGTAATATTGAATAACTATTTGGGATTGAATTTGTCGATCATTTCATGTCACTTGACTATATAGAGTTTTCTTTAACTACATCAACGCTATTGTTTCTGGCAAGGTTCGCAATACCGTACCGTACTGGTGTTTCGACCGGCGCTCGATACCGGTACGGTACGGTATACCGCTCGGTACACCTGGGTGTACCGAGCGGTATAATCAGGCGTGCCGAGTACTGTATCTGCTACAGTGTTACTGTAGCTGCTACAGTACTAGGCACGGTAACAGGTGGTCCGCGTACCGGCAACGTATCGGACCGGTACGTACCGCCCGTACCGGGCGGTACGGGTCGGTACTGCAAACCTTGGTTTCTGGTGCATCAAAACTTTTTTTTCTCGATATTGGCACAATTTTTTATAGTTATCTGCACCACATTTTGACAGTAGAAGTGATGTTAAACTTATACTATCATCAGAACTAGTTACTTCTAAGTTGTTAGCATTGTTAGGCTTATACCATCATAAGATGTTAAACTTATAAATTGTTGCCACAATTTGGTTCAGAACCTGCGATTTAACTTTTCTTTTATTGTTAGGCTCTCTTGCATTCAGTTCCAATTGGGCGGATGGTAGTTCTTGATCTATTCGCTGAAGTAAAACCAATATGGATTACATCAAAACAGTTTTACGGTGTTCCATACATCTGGAAAGTTCTCTGTTTCTCAAAATGTTGGTTTTCGTTAATTTTCTTGTAGCAATATGTAAAGATTCCTTTTTTCCATAATCTTGATCAGCAGCAACTTATATTAATTTTCTACAGGTGCATGCTACACAATTTTGCTGGAAATATTGAGATGTATGGTATTCTCGATGCAATTGCACTTGGACCTATTGAAGCTCGTACAAGTGAAAATTCAACCATGGTTAGTTGCCTTTTTGTGGTACTTAAAATATAATTTATTATGTGCAGCTTATTTTGTGATACATGGTACCTAGTCCCAGGGTTTTTAATTTCAAATAATACTGCCTGGTACGGACGATACGTACCGGTCTGATAGCATACCGGTACATGGACCGTCCGCTATCGGGCGGAACACTCAATATGGCCCGTATCGGGTGATACAGGGGCATATCAAACGGTAACAATTGAAATTTCGATCATTATCGCCCGACACAGTTACTGCTCGACATAGCACGATAACGGTTGATTTCGACAGTTACCTACATTTTTTTTTCCTTTCTAACCATTATTTGGGCTAGTTCCACATTGTGAATTTGTTGGTTGTGCCAAATGTCATCAAGGTTCAACAACATAAAACATGTCGTTACAGTGGTTAGTGTTGTGCTTCTGACCAGTGATATAGGATTGTTGGAATTTGTTATTTTAGTTCACTAGTGAGTTAAAATTATTCCTTAATCTAGGTGTGGTAGTCATAATTTATTTATATAGTTTATTATATTATTTCTTGCATCTCTAGAAAATTATTAGGAAATGTTTGAATATATAAACACCATTTTATGACAGTGTTCACAATTTTAATTTTGTACAATCTGTAGTGAATCACATTTCACGTTTTCACTATGAAAATGATTGGTGAAGCACGAACAAAATCTGTGCTATCTGTTAAAGGAACTCTTATAAACTGGTAGTGTCAATCTTTTTCTCAAACGTATCTTTATTATTCAAAAAATATATTTTTCGGTGCTGAAGCCTTTTTGTGAGCATCAAAGGATATGAGTTTGACTACTTGGATAAAGTAAGTTTGTTTTTGCAGATTTAAAATTTTTATTTTTAGCTAAAAAAGTGTTCCCTGTCTCTTTCACAACAAGTAAAAGTTGTAGCAAAATTTGTTGTGATTTCTGTTATAAGTTATGGAATTTAGAAGGAGCTATATATTAATATCATCTCTTAATCCATATATATCCTTGAGGAATATCATTGGTATGTTTTATGTTTGTCTAATATTTCGTTGGTCTAAAGGTTGGCGTTGGAATGTCTATGGAAGGCATCGAGCAAAATCCTGTTGTTTATGATCTGATGTCTGAAATGGCATTTCATCATAAACCAGTAGATGTCAAGGTAATATTTACTTTTGTGTACCCATCTCTTTACCTTATTGAATACCATCCACATGTTTTAAGCTATAATTTCCCTTTCTCGCCTCCTATATGGTGTAATGTATAAATTGAAGATATCCTATAGGTTAGTTACATAGAATAAGTTCAAATAGTTTTCCCAAACAGGTACATATATAATTTAAGATTCTTTTTTCGGTTCAGCGGTTAAGTAGTTCCTGCTTCAATGGCAGATTAAGTCTAGTAATCTATAAACTAGAATAGTAGCACTAGAAAAGAAATTTAATTAAAATTTGGAACTTTGTGAAGGACAGTATCAAGTTAAATGCATTTTTGTTGTATTGGGAAAATAGGAATTTAATTTTGATTTGTTTATTGTAGGTCAAATTGCATAGCTGTAGATTAAACCTTGCCTTGTGAACAAAATTTTGGCCAAATGTGATCTCAGATGGAGCATGTTTCTTTTCTTTGTGCATGTGTTTTGATTGTACAAATGTGATTTGCGTATCTGTTTATGGGTTTTCACTTCTTCACTTTGCCTACTTTCTTTTTTATCCTTCATTTAACCTTTGTTAGGTCGGATACATTTAAATATGTCCAGCTGGCAAGGTACTTGACCTATTTCTGGGTTTTTATGCATCATTTTAATATTGAGGAGCTTAGGTGGTCAGTTTTTGGTAGAACAAAATGTAGCATTTTCTTTCTGTTCTAGGATATATAATCCGCTTATTGCCATTCTTCCAATTATGTAGCAAGATATAGTTTCTTAGTCATCATGCAAACTCAGCAAAATAGTTTGTTCCATCAATTCAGGACAGCTTAGTAATTGGATTTCAGAATCTGATAATAGTTAAAAGCATGCCTATTTTTACTTGTGGAAAAAGAATAATGGAACTAGAAGCTCAATGAGGAGGAATCACAATGTGAAAAAAGATTCATATTTCACTTTTAGCAGATTTATTTGGTAGAAATAATTAGATCATCTAGTTTGATTGTTGCCTAAATTTCCTACAACTAACATTCTCTTTTGTTCTTTGTCAATGAACAATTTTAGTTGAGAAGTAAATTTGATGGAATTTTAATGATGTAGAATTCATTATATACATTGTTAAGTGATAAACATATGAAAGCTTGATTTACTGACTGATTATTTCAAAATTTAGATCAGACCCATCAAGAAATGTTTTGGCTTTTCTTTTATCATTTTCTTTTCAGATCTGGGTTGACTTATATGCAACAAGGAGATATGGAAGGTTTGTTCCAGCACTACAAGATGCCTGGCAGATACTATATCATACTCTATATAATTGCACAGATGGTGCCTATGTGAGTTTAATCTTTGTTTTCTCTATTATAGGCTAATTTATGACTCATAGTGGATCCTCATTATCCACATATAAACTTCATATTCATCTAAAGGTTTTCATAGTCGAATCTTCTTGCTTGAAATGTGGTGCATTGTGGCTTTAGAAAACTAACCATTCTGAGTGTTCACCAAAAATAGGGTTTAGTTAAGTCTTCATGACCAAAGTTGACGGCTTTGGGAGGGATATAATTGTTCATAGGAGGTTACAATCTAGGATTGCAAAAAGAGAGTTCAAATACAAATAATTCTTCTTCCATAATTTTGTCAATTGCCAATAGAAGTCACAGTCTATGAATGCCAAAGATCATTTGTATGCATGCAACCAAGAAAGTAAATGTCCATAAGGACTCCATATTTCTTTTACTTTCTTTAAAATTAGGATCAGGAAAAGCAAATATAATTGTCTTCTTTTGATAATAAGAAACTTGACAGTTGACACAATAACACCAAATAAGTCAAAAGACGAAGATATTGTGAAAGCTTGCCACCATTGGTGGTGATCACATTGAAGTGATCAAGAACCATAAAGGTACCAGTAAGAAAAAACTTTTAATATTTGATCACTTGAATTAATCATTACTCTGTCAATTGGTTCAATAATAGCACAATTAGATATTACCCTATATTGACTTTTTAGTTCAAAAGATCATGATGTTTTAAGCTGCTTTAGTTGCAGCATCACTACTGGTAACTTCAATGTTTTCTATCCTTATTGGGTTTGGTATTCAGAGAAACACTTGGATTTTAGTAAAAAAGGAGATCTACACTCTTCCTCTCTTACAACAGCAGAAAGAGTGCTGCAACTTAAGTCCGAGGAATCAAAGAGATTTTACCATTGATGTTGATAATACATCAATGATGGTACTTACAAACCTGGCTTTAGATTAATTACTTTCTAGATAAAGGTTGATAAGGAAATTATAACGAAAACTATTTTCATTTGGAAAGCAAATATCAAAGGCATGAAAAAAAAAGAACCAGCTTTTGGATGTTTTATATAATTATGCGAAGGTTATTCAGTTTTTGAGGCAATGGTAGCTTTCATTTACGAAATTATTTCTTGATTTGTACAAAACCTAGTACTCTAGAATTTTCTTATTGAAGAACAAAATAAAAGAAACATAAAATCCTATTTTCCTAATCGTAGTTGTCTCATTTGATAATCTTTGAATTACTTCTACTCAAGGATCACCGTTTGGGTACTGGACCCATTTTGGTAATATGCTCAGACTAGTACATATCAATCAGTACTGGTGTACTGTGTGTATCGGTGTTCTGAAGAAGAAAAAGGAGAAGAAGGGGTGGTAGAGGAAGAGGAGGGAGGAGGAAGGAGGTAGGAGGAAAGAAGAAGAGGAGATGGTGAAGAGGAGGAAGAGGAAGAGGAAAATGGGCATTCCTATGAGAAGCAATTAGGCCAAAGGTGGTGTTTGGTGGTGGTATACAGTGAGGCCATGGTGTGCCTGAGAAGTGGAGGTCACATTGAGAAGCAAAGGTTGCGCTGTGCATGAGAAACAATTAGGGTAGTTTCCTTATATATGGATGAACTGAATCGCCGTAAACAGGGGCGGTCTGCATACCACATACCAGTTGATGTCTGAACCAGTATGTACTGCCTGTTTCGTATCAGTCTAAGTGAAACACGTCATTTGCTTCTACATCTTTTCATTTGTTTTCTTATTCTCTTTATTATCATTTTACTTTTCTTCCTTATCTTCTTTGTTACGGCCTTCATCTGTACT